GTCACGTTGGATGGTGATGTTTACGATCCTTCCGGAACTCTTCAAGGTGGTTCTAAGCCTTCATCAGCTGGACTTTTAGCAAAGATGCAGATCTGGAAAGATCTTAAAAAGCAGTTGAATCATCATCAACGTACGCTTGAAAGTTTGGATGAAAAACTTAATGGAACTCGAAGAATCAAAGATAAATACAATAAAATAAAGCAAGAGTTAGATTTGAAGACACACGAGATTACCTTGTTAGAAGAACAGATTAACAAAAATAGCAACTCGCAGGTAATCAGTCATTGAAAAGTGTGGAAGACTGATACATATATATTGTATAGCTAAACATTTTTATTATTATTAAAGATTCTTCACGTGATCGAAAACATTAAAGCCCAGATAAATGAACAAGAAAGTATAATTAAGAATTCCAATGAGAAACATAGAGCTGCTAAATTGGAATGCCAGCGGATTGAAAGAGAGATGAACGAGTTTAAAAATAACAGGGATTCCAAGCTGAAAGATATAGAGGTATTATAGTTATTGAATTTACTTTTCCGAATAATCTATTAATTATTATTGGAATAAACAGAAATCCGTATCCAAAGGGAAAAACGAGTTGACAAAAAATAATCAGGTTGTCATAAACATGCAGCGTCAAGTTCAAATATCGCAACTAGAGATAAGTATGTCTTAGGTCACGAAATATTAATTTCTAATGGTTGAATGGTTGGTTGATGGAGGTTACCGTAATTACTAATGCATATACTTTTGCGTAGAACAACTCGAAGAAGACTTAAAAAGCTCCAGTACAGAGATCGAAAATTCGGACTCGGTCATTCGACAATTGACCGAAACAGACCAGACAATGGATGCTGAACTAAATCAAATAATGGTTGTTACTATTTTAAAATTCGAGTCCAGATTCAAATATAGGGATCTGTCTAATTTTCACCGGATTGTAAAATTTAGAGTCAACACTCTCGTGCTCAAGCTGAATTGGACAAAGAGTTACAAATCTTGTCAGCATATGATGAGGAAATCAGAGATCTTCAAAATGCATTTGAAACGAAAAGTAACCAAATAAATGAATCAAAGTTAAAAATAACAACGATCAATCATGAGATCGAAAGATTCCTTAAAGAAAAGGAAACGGCACAAGAAGTTATTCAGAATATGGAAAAGGAGCACGATTGGATTTTGCACCAGAGACAGTTAAATGTTTATAAAATTATGTTCATTCATCTCACCTCAGTTTGCTAATCATTAATTTTTTTTTTGCGATACAGCCATTTTGGTAAACCTAACACGACCTACGACTTTATAAATCAGAATCCGAATGAATGCAAAAAGATGTTAAGAAAGTTAGAAGAAAAACATAGTAGTATGCGTAAAAAGATTAACGCAAAGGTTATGAACATGATTGACAGGTTACTATCGCGTCAATGTAATTCTTGAATGTTTTTCTCTATTGACCTTCCTTCCAATTTTCAATTAGTGTTGAAAAGAAGGAAGCTTCTCTAAAGCAAATGTTGGCAACTGTACAAAAAGACAAGAAAAAAATAGAAGATACGATTGTATCTTTGGATAATTATAAAAAAGACGCGTTAAACAGGACTTGGAAAAAAGTTGACGCGTACGTGTTAAATTCAAACTAATCTATTCCTTATTACGTTAATTTACATTTCTTTATCCTTCTTTTACAGTGATTTTGGTGCCATTTTTGGAGATCTGTTGCCAAGTAGTTTCGCTACACTTAGAATACCAGAAGGGAAAGAGTTGACTGAAGGTTTAGAAGTTAAAGTGCAACTCGGCGGTGTTTGGAAACAAAGTTTGGCGGAATTGAGCGGTGGTCAAAGGTACTGTAAATCAAATTCAGTGATCCTGTGTAATACAAATACTCGTCAGATAATTTCAAAATCTTAACGTTCACAACAGATCACTGGTAGCCTTGTCATTGATCCTATCGTTGTTACAATTTAAACCTGCTCCAATGTATATTTTGGATGAAGTGGATGCCGCTCTCGATCTTTCACACACACAGAATATTGGTCAATTACTTCGAACGCGATTTAAGGGATCTCAGTTTATAGTCGTCTCACTCAAGGATGGCATGTTTAATAATGCCAACGTTTTATTCCGCACCAGATTTCGTGATGGCACTTCGGTTGTTGAGGTAGTTGCTTCTTTAATTATTTTTCATCCCATCTAACAAAGCGCATTGCTAAGATTAACATGGTGAATTTTTGTAGAAAACTGCACAGAAACAAGATCACTCCAGAGAAAATGACCGACGAAAAAATCATAGGCGTTGAATTGAAAAAATTTATATATATTATCACGAACATGAAATTTTAAAATGTACCCTCACGATAAGAGTATATTAAATATCGAATTGATTTTAATCAGAATTTTTGCAATCACATACCATCAACATAATAATAATAGTAACTTTGGTGACTAAGTATAAATGCCTTTTTTTTTAAGTTCCTATCGAATTTTACCTTCTCTCAATGTTTTCAGCGTCACTACGCCTTTACTAGTTGCAAAAGGAATATCTTTATATAAAGCATTGCCTTTTTCGTCCACCTTAAATTCTTCCGCAACTTTTTCAAAAACTTTTTGTTTAGGGTTTAATATTTCTGCATCCCTTTTGGCACTACCGTATCCCTCCCAGATGACCTTTTCACCAATTTCTGAGCCTTCCGGCGGATCCAAAAGTTCAACCTTGCTATTATCTGATGAAGAACCGGCGAGAAGCATTGCACATGATTCTATACCCTGAAACTTGGCGGGTTTTAAATTGCATACGGCGAGGACATGGCGACCTTGAAGTTGTTCAAGTGGAATATATGCTGCAAGACCAGAAACAACGGTTCTTGGTTTACCCGAAGCATCTCCTACATCCACCGTAGACACGTAAGATTTAGGATTGGACGGATGAGGCTCGGCTTTTATAATTTTAGCGACGCGAATATCTATCGATGATTTATTTTTTAAAGAATTAATCAGTTGATTCGAATTTCTCATGCATATGGCTTTCCTCTGTACGATAAACTGGCTACTCACCTATTCTTGAAACATCGATGGGCTTCTCCGACGAATTATTATTATTTTTGTTATTATTATTATTATTATTATTATTATTATTATTATTAGCATCTAAATTGTGTTTTTTCGTTTCTTTCTTTTTTACGTGCGCTTTATCAGCTTTTAGTTCTGGATATGCCTGATTGGTCAACTTAATAAGTTCGGGATTACTCGCCCACTTCTTTCTGATAGGATCTAATAACTTGTTGATGGATTCTGCTACTGCTGTTTTCAAATCTCCAGGATGAACCTTCTTGTCACGAAAATCGTCTTCTAATGTTTGATAATCTGTGTAGACAAGTTTGCCGCCAAATTTTTCAGGACGATTGATATTGAATTTGGTAGTTTGACCATTGAGACTTCCTAATGGAAACAGAACATATTTAACGAACGACAAAACGCCATTCTCGGTCACATTTCCCTCCTCGCAGAAAGCTTTTTTTAATTTGCGAACTACTGAAACTTCGTCATCAAGAAGATCGATTTTTGAATCGGGATCGGATGATGACATTTTTGATCCTGCCAAACCGGGAACCATGGGATTCATAAGATGCGATCGTTTCTTATAGCCGAGGTGAGGCAAATATTTTTCGGCATATACAAATATTTTTCTTTGATCGACTCCACCAAATTGGGCATCCACTCCCAAATATTCCTCGTCCAGTGCTTGTAATCCTGGATACAATAACCCGGATAATAATGCTGACTCGACCTGTTTAACCACTTCGGCACCAGCCTTTTTTGCGTCGTGTTCAGTGACAGTAGCACACAATCGAAAATTGTCTAAACTATACTCTTTTGTTAACTGGTAATCCGACCCGACAACAAATTTGAGCTTATCAATAGGCACACCAATTGACACAAATGCAGCTTTAATGAGTTCTTCATAGTATTTGGTTCTAAACTTAACAAGTTCAAGAGGTGCTTTCATATTATCAAGGAAAGCGTGAATATCCGCTAAAAGAACAGTCACCTATAAAATAAAAGGGAAAAAGGATTACAGCAATCATTTTAACGCGGCGCTCTTATATCATACGCGCACACCCTTGAGAGAAATATGCGCCATTCACGTGATTTCGTATCTCCGTGACAGTCTGTTCGAAAGACCCACCTCAACGCCTGCCGCCAAAAAATCTGCAATTTTTGAAAATGGAACAAAGTAGCCAATATGAGGTTTTCCCGTTGGTGCTGTTCCCCAATAGAGTTTCAGGTCCCTTTCCTCAAGAATTTTCAAGATCTCTTCGCCACCCAAAACTTCTTGAAGATTTCTTGTTATGAGTTTATACTTTTCGTCTTTTGACAATCCGTTTGTAGACATTTTTCTTTTTTTTTATAACGTGAAACTGATGCAGTCTCTTGATATATAAAAAAGAATAAATTAAATCGAAAACGACAAGCACTTGCACTTTTTATTGTGTTAAAATTAACAAGTGTGGCTGCGGTCACTTAATAAGCCTCGAAAACAATAAAAGCACTGGATCTATAACATGTGGTTAGCTTTTATTTCTT